TTCCACCCTCTGCAGGGGTATACATAATCCCTTGTAATGACTGCAACAAGTTATACGTGGGCGAAACATCAAGGGACCTCCAAACACGTATTTCAGAACACCAATACGCAAGCAGGTCTGACGACACAAGGAATGCCTGCGTACAACACCGTAATTCACACAACCACTTGATAAACTACAGAAACTCAAGACTTATCGCCACAGAAGACAACACTCAATACCGAAGAATCCTGGAATCATCACTTATTTCTATATCCGACAACTTCAACCAGAATAGTGGCTTCTATAACATAGTTGAACCACTTGCCAAGAAACTTCTCCATCGCTATCCCACATAAGAACACTGTAGAAGGTCTGCTCTCAAACTTATCCAATCTCCTTTCCAAGCAACCCAAGTTTTTAGACTCTATAACCCCACTCGGTACATCATCAGATGCAGCATTCTCCACCTGACCTCAGCATTCTGAACCGGACTATAAATACTCGCGTTCCTTCCACCCCAGGTAGTTCTGTTTGTGACTTGAAAAAGCCCACTGTGTGGGCGAAACGTAGTCAATAAAGGATCACATTATACTGCATATGTGTTTATATTTCCAGTGATGGTGGTAGAGGGTGGTAGCAGTTGTGATAGTGGTAGAGGGTGGTAGTGGTTATGATAGTGGTGGAGGGTGGTAGTGATGGTAGTAGAGGGTGCCTTCTTCAGTGATTCAGCGATTCTACTAACTCCTATAATGTTGTTGGAGTTATACAGGGCTACAGAAAACACTGCCACCTCAATTGCAGCCTTCACCAACATTTGTACGGCTTATGCTCTCAGTGGTCCTTATACACCCAACAACAACACAACACAACACCCCTTGTGACATACATAATGACTTATTTTATTCATCCTAGAGTATATTCCATGTTTCTACATTATTAATACTGTTTATTATGTCATATTAGTTGAATTGTGATAGATAAATAAGCCGTAGAGTTGATATTAGTGTCAAATTCTCCAACAATAAATTCGCTTCCCCTCCCTCTGCCCCGTCTGCCATACACCAGCAGGTCTTCAATAAAGGTAAGTGTGATGTTAAATGTTCATTTATACATTTAAGCTAGGGAAGTGGCTAGGGAAGTGACCCCTGAAGTGACCTAATCTCCTTATGGAGGGGGATTCCCCTTCCAAACAATAACCTCTCTTCCTTCTCTCCTCCTCCCTGTCTTCCATTCATCAACAACAGCCTTCAATAAAGGTAACTGTCATGATGAATGTTCATTCTTTTGTGCATATAAATCTATCTTTAAAGTAAAAACAAAAATTTTTGTTGATACTTCTGAGTGTCTGGAACGAATTAATTGGATTTACATTATTTCTTATGGGGAAAATGGATTCGCAAATCACCAATTTCGATAACAGTCACGCTCTCTGGAACAGATTAATTATGAAAAACAAGGGTCCACTGTACTTTAATCATCATTCATTCCATCAGTGTCTTGCCAGAGGCATGCCTACATTACAGTTATAAAACTGCAACTTATCAACACCCCTCCTTCAGAGTGCAGGCACTGAATTTCCCACTTCCAGGACTCAAGTCCAGAGGTGGGAAGTACATATTTATATGCTCTCCCTGTCATTTTATTTCATTCCATTCTCTCCAAATGTCTGAACCACCTCAACAACCCCTCCTCAGCCCTCTGGAAAACAGTTCTGGTAATCCCACATCTCCTCCTAATTTCAAAACTATGGATTCTCTGCGTTATATTCACACCACACATTGCCCTCAGACACGACATCTCCACTCCCTCCAGCCTTCTTGTTGCAACATTTACCACTCATGCTTCACACCCATACAAGAGCATTGGTATGACTATACTCTAATACGTTCCCCTTTTTGCTTCCTTGGATAATGTTCTTTGTCTCCACAGACTCCTCACTGCACTGCTCACCTTTTTCCCCCTCATCAATTCTCATTCACCTTGTCTTTCATAGACCCATCTGCTGACAAGTCCACTCGCAAATATTTGAATATATTCACTTCTTCCATACTCCCTCCCTCCCATCTGATATCCAGTCTTTCATTACCTAAATTTTTTATCCTCATCACCTTACTCTTTCCTATGTTCACTTTTAATTTCCTTCTTTTACATACCCTACCAAACTCATCCGCTAACCTCTGCAACTTCTCTTCAGAATCTCCCCAAAGCACAGTGTCATCAGGAAAGAACGACTGTGAAAACTCCCACTTTGTGTTAGATTCTTTATCTCTTAATCCCATGCCTCTTGCCAACACCTGAGCATTCACTTCTCTTACAACCCATCTATAAATATATTGAGCAACCATGGTGACATCACACATCCCTATCTAAGGCCTACTTTAACTGGAAAATAATCTCCGTCTCTCCAACAAACTCTAACCTAAGCCTCACTATCCTTGTACAATTCTTCACTGTTTCAGTAGCCTACATCTTATTCCATACAACATCCATGTGCAACATCTGTCACATTGCCCCCCTATCATACTAAATAAGTATGTAGTACCATATAATTTAGCTAACTAGTTATGACAATGACCAGGGAAGGAGGTAGTGACCCAGGAAAGGAGGAAGTAATGTAGGGAACTAGGCAATGACCCAAGGAAGGAGGCAGTGACCAGGAAATGAGGTACTGACCCCAGAAAAGGAAGAAGCGACTTGGGGAAGGAGATAAAGGGCCAGTGAAGGAGGCAGTGATTTAGGGAAGGTAAAAAAACAGTACTTAAATAGACACTTATGTGGGTTTTATGACATTCCTTAAGATATTTTGTCCACCAGAGGTTTTATCAATCCAATACAGTATTAGACCTCCCGATAATAACTAAAGACTTCGTGAATGTCACTGAACTTTGCATTGTTTTCAAATGCTTCTTTGGTGACATTTTATACCTACAATTATATGGGATCTCCATGGGAAAGGGAAACAGAATTCTTTCTCTGTAAGCCATGCACGTCGTAAGAGGTGACTAAAATTCCTGGAGCAAGGGGCTAGTAACCCCTTCTCCTGTATACATTACTAAAGTTACAAAGAGAAACTTTCGTTTTTCTTTTTGGACCACCCTGCTTTGGTGGGATATGGCCAATGTGTTGAATGAAAGAAAGAACTGGGATGCCCATGGGTTCAACAGTCTATGGAGTCATGGCCAATCTATACATGGAGCACCGGGAGGACATGAGGTAGAAACCACATATCCCATCTGATGTAACATGCCTGAGGCATGTTACATCAGATGGGACTTCTTAATAACATTACACAGTGGAACTTCTTAATAACATTAACTCTCTAAATTAAGTTCTTTCCAACTTATCCTTTGTAAAAAGGATAAGTTGGAGTCAAGGGTCTACAGGAACCCAACCTATAAAAATGACCTGCACTACTACCTGCAGTGGCACAGGTTTCTTGTCAAGAGCATGCTGGATCTCCTATGCACCATATTTAGAGGAGGAATGCAAATTCATACATAATGTTTTCTCCAAATTTCCTTACCATGCCCATTTCATCAATAACTATACGAGAAAAGCCAAAAGGATCACCAACACAGTTAGGTAATGACAAAAGTCAAATAGGTTCATAGTGTTTTCTGGACCTCTGATAACATACACATCTGTACTGATTGTAAAATGCATAAACACAATAGTGAACCTAATTTCTAGCACTATTTAGGGTCTACAGAATCAACAGAAAATACACAACACAAGGAAACTAACACCAGGGTATACATCATTCCATGCAGGAAGTGTTAAAATATATGTTGGGGAAACTTCCATAAATCACTCACAATTTATCAAGGAACACCATTATGCATGCCAGAGGGAGGGTTTGAACAACACTTACGCCATCTATTTCAACACCTGTCGGCACCTCAGGCTTCTAAACTGCCAAACTAGTCATCAGGCACTAGTAGGCAATGTTTAGAGTTCTCTCTCATTGCTGTCAATAACACTGTAGCTCAAAATATTGCAAGCTTCGTCATTTCCGAAATCTTCACACAATACATTCTACTCAAGTGAAACACAGCCATCTCTCTGATTTGCCCTTTCACTCACATCCTCTGCCCTATTCATATTGTAATGGCTTACTCTTGTTTTCTGTATTCGATTGATAAATGCCTGGTGGGCAAAATGTAGTTGATCAAAATATTTCCATAATAAATGTCCTAAAACATACATATGTGTCTATTTCATGACATAGGACAGGAGGTACTTACCTAGGGAATGAAGTAGTGACTTAGGGAAGGAGGTACTAACCCAATAAATGAGGTAGAGATCCAGGGAAGGGGATAGTGACTTAGGGAAGGAGGTATTAATATAGTGAGTGAGGTAGTGACCTAGGGAAGAAGACAGTGCCTTAGGAAAAGGGCAGTAACCAAGTAAAAGGGTAGTGATCTAGGGAAGGGGATATGACCAAGGGAAAAGCTAGTGACCTGGGGAACAGAACAGTGACCTGAGGAACAGGGTAGCGACCTGGGGAAGAGTAGTGATTTGGGGAGGAGGATAGTAACTTACAGAAGGGATAGTGATGTAAGGAAGAGGATAATAGCCTTGGTAAGTAGGTAATGACCTGAGGAAGAGGCTAGTGGCCTTGGTGAGGAGGTAGTGACCTGGGGAAAAGGGTAGTTGCCTTGGTAAGGAGGCAGTGATTTGGGGAAGAGGGTAGTAACCTAGAGAAGGGGGGTACTGACCTGGGTAAGGGACTAGTGACATGGGTAAGGGGTTTAGCAACCTGGGTCAGGGGGTATGACCTCTGGAAAGGGTAGTCACCTAGAGAAGGGTGTAGTGAAGACAATAAAGGTGAGTCTATATTGGTGGGAAACAGTCAGTGATAAAAAAAAATAATGACTGAGAATCAGATGGTTGAGATGGGTCCCAGGAGCTGCAGCCCAAAAGCTAAACACACAGATGAGTACACTCACTCATTCAGTCTAAGGAAAGAAGCTTAATGGCTCACCAGTATGTGTACGACTAAAAGCCTGAATACTTACATCACTTTCAAAATGATCCTCAAGCATTTGTTTATTTTGCCACAATAAAGTCATGTTCTCCTTTGCTTGACTAATAATCATCCACATCATGCTGCAGTGGAAGGGATACTTATTTCTCATGGGGTTTTGAACAAGTCGAGCAGCAGCCATTCCAAATCTGAAATAACTTAAATATATGAATATCTTATATTATAAATCCTTCTTATTAGTTCTACAAGTGTAGCTACATGATATTCTGTTATGTTATCAGTTCTACAAGAGTAGCTACATAATAGTCTGTTATGTTATCAGTTCTACAAGAGTAGCTACATGATATTCTGTTATGTTATCAGTTCTACAAGAATAGCTACATGATAGTCTGTTATCAGTTCTACAAGCATAGCAACATACATACCATGTTCTTAGCCATCGAATGCCTAATCACATACAGTGGACCCCCGCATAACGATTACCTCCAAATGTGACCAATTATGTAAGTGTATTTATGTAAGTGCGTTTGTACGTGTATGTTTGGGGGTCTGAAATGGACTAATCTACTTCACAATATTCCTTATGGGAAAAAATTCGGTCAGTACTGGCACCTGAACATACTACTGGAATGAAAAAAGTTTGTTAACCGGGGGTCCACTGTATAGTGTAACTGTGGATATGTAGAAAACTGGTCAAGACAGATTTTAATGAATGTACTTTTTGAAGGTTTAACTTATATCAGGCAAATATCTCAGTCGTATGTGCCAAATTTATGTTAAAGGTAATATTTATGAAGGGATTCAGATAAAGCAGTTAGCTGGAACTGAGTCCTGGAGGTGAAAAGTGCAGTGCTGTACTCTGAAGGAGGAGCAGAAATGTTACAGTTTGGATGGTCATCTGAAGTGTGATGTTATCATTCTTCTGGCAAGACAGTAGTTGGAAAGACACCTTGGTAGGAAAAGACAGTGCTGTAAATAATCTTTAACCCTTTGAGGGTCGACAGGCCCTCTCCGAGACTTGTTCTCAGGGTCGGCCAAATTTAAAAAAAAAAAAAAAAAATATTTTTTCTTATGAAAAGATAGAGAATCTTTTCCCGATCATAATGACACCAAAAGTATGAAATTTGATGGAAAACTTACGGAATTATGCTCTCGCGAAGTTAGCAGTCTCGACAATGTTTACGCATCGGCGATTTTGCCCACTTTGAGCCCTATTTTCAGCCAATTCCAATACTAGTCGACAAAAATCATAACTATTTCGCTAGAACTCTATTTTTTGTTTTGAATGAGTACAAGAAACCACCCATTTACTGATTTCAACTATCCAATATAGTGGTCAGAATTTAGCAATTTTGCCAATTTCACACAAATTTCAAAAGATGCCAATTTCTGAATAGGGTCCAGAATAAACAAGAAAGACATTCCTGGCACAAAAATAACAAGTTCTCTGTTCGTTAGTCACATCTTCAGGCCCCTCTTATGTTTCTTTGGCTTTCTACATTCAATTTTTATTCTCACAAAAAATAGAAGATTTACTGTTATGCAGACTACTGCATTAGTGTAGAAATGGTATAAATAATATCAGCGCACTTGTGAAAGAATATTAGACTCACCAGTTGATGTGTATTGGACGCTTGGCATGATTTGTTTACTTTTGAACTTTGGTAAAAATCGAACATTTCTGCTACTTTGAGCTCAATTCCAAGGTACTTTTCATTGTAAAACCAGTCAAAATCATCTCAATTTCTGTAATATGTTTTCCATTCTATAAAATGAGACCAAGAAATCTAGAATACAACAATACCATATGAAAATACAGTGCAAAGTCGCTGTTTTATTCCAAAAACACGGTCAAAGTTTTTTTTTCTCATTAAGCACTGCGTGCTGCAGGATTTTTTTTTTACTGTGCACACTGACCACATAGACCCATTCTTTCATATGTAGGCCTATCAGCTTTCTCCCACTAGATTTGAGGGCGCTAGAATTTAGGCATACTAGTACGTCAAAAACCCTGGGTCGTAAGCCGTACTAGTACGGCCGAAACCCCCAAAGGGTTAAAGATAAAAAGATAAAGATTTTATTTCTTTGCAAAAGGTTACAATGTAATTATAACTTTGGTTGGTAAGTACAAAGAAAGTCACTATCATGCCAGGACATGTCTGGCAGATTGTTCCTAGTACATAATAACTACTAAAATCTAGACAATATAAGAGGTGTTAACTTGTATTAAAATCTTTATTTAATCTTAATGCTAATGCATAGCAGTGACGGTGGAGGTTCATAAGAATAATAATCTTGAAGTTGCACATAATAAAAACAATATTACAAATAATGGTTCAGACAGTAATATTTTATGGATCGGCAGATGTTTAATAGACTAGAGGTCATATAGTACAATATTTGGGAGAGTTGCTTCTAACTGATTAGTCCTAAATTTATAAGCAGTCAGAGGATCCTTTACTGGTTCAAGTAGTGAATTCCAGATCTTCGGGCCCTTTATGTGCATTGCATTTTTGCATAGTGTGAGACTGACACGAGGGATGTCAAAGAGTGCCTTATGCCCTATACAGTAGGGCCCCACTTATACGGCGGGTTAGGTTCCAGACTGTTGCTGGAAAGCAGACATCGCTGGAAGGCAGAACACCATTTTTTCCATTTATAAATGCATATAAATGCCAGAGAACAAGTTTACACTAAATTATATTAAGTTAGTAATAGAACTAGGCATTAAAAACACACAAAGTAAAATACATTCACAGTACATTCATTACTTATCTTAAAGTACATGTATTTGTAATCATAAGGGTAGCGTCGGTCAAAAAATTGTAGCTTTTTTATTTACCGTCCGATTTCCTCCAGTTTTGGTGCACAAGACAAAGTGTTTTCACTCTTTGTCAAAAATATACCTCAAACAACAACTGAGAAAAGACTAACTTACTGAAAATGCCCTTGTGGCCAAATTTATTCCTATATGGGACGACCTAAGGTTGTTTGGACACTTGGTGCTGAGAGAACAATGTTAATACTACATTCTAAAGCCATAATAACCTCTAAGTGTCTTATCTTTATTTCACAAAAAATAAAGTTTGTTATTTCTTGGAATGTTGCAAAATATCTGCCCTTTACTCCCACATAAATCCCAAAATAATTGGAATATTTCCCCCAAAATAGCTTTAGTAAATAGAGAAATCATTATTTTACACTTTCTGTGAATATTATTCCATTTAATTAAGTAATAAAGGAAGAATTTTGGCCATTAGGTGAATAAGTTACTTCCGAGATATCGGCCGGGAGCGCCGGCTAGCCCGCCATCTCAAAAAAAAAAAAAAAAAAATCGCGAAAATCACGTTTGTTTGGGTGTATTTCTTAGTAAACTGATGTTCTAGTGCAGTTATCCTCTTCAACACACTGTTTTCTATCATTGAAGACCAAGTCATACAACAAGTCGAGGGGTAACAATTTTATGTCGAATATTACTGGTGGATTCTCACCATATTATGGCCTATTTTATTCAGTCTAGAGTATATAACATGTTTGTATGTTATTTATAGTGTTTATTATATCATATTAGATCAATTTTGATAGATAAATAAGCCACAGAGTTGATATATAAGCTGATATAAGTGTAATAATGAAGTGATTTCTCCTGGCACTCTCTGGAGCCGAGCGTTCCCATATGGTGCCTGGTTGGCTCTAAGTCAACGGATAAGCTCCGCCTACTGTTTTATGATGCCAAATAGTCAGTTATTATATTAGAAAGAATAATGCAAGAAAAAGCGATAAAAAACAAGGAAAAAATTCCAAAATATATATGGGCTGTGAGCAGACGCACTACCCATATCACCGTCACCTTACCTGATATAAATGACTATAATTTCTTGTAGAAACGTCATAGAACATTCATTCTGGTACCACTGTATTGCCAAAGAGTTAAGCTATTTTTCGGTATATATAACTCAATTTCCATAATTTTTCGATTTTTTTTTTTTTGAGAGTGCGTGGAAAACTGCCCGACGCTCCTCTGAATGTAGGGAGAGAGGTGAGTAGTACTTATTTGTAGGAAGGCAGGTGCAGGTAGCCCAGGTGTTGGTAGCACTGGCTCCCCGTCTCATACTTAATATATGATATTTAAAACATCCCACAGAGGTAAAATACTCATACAGTACACTCATTATTTACCTTAAAATATGTGTAGTCTTAACCCTTTGACTGTCGCGGCTGTATATATATGTTTTACGAGGTGCCGTGTTTGACGTACAGTGGACCCCCGCATAACGATGGCATCACATAGCGATTATTTCGCATACCGCTTACTTTAATTGCAAAAATTTTGCCTCACATACCGCTTAAAAACCCGCTTACCGATTTTCTTCCGAGACGCGCTCACATGTTCCGCCGGGTGGCATTGTTTACCAGCCAGCCTCCGCGGTAACATCCAAGCATACAATCGGAATATTTCGTATTATTACAGTGTTTTCGGTGCTGTTTCTGGAAAATAAGTGACCATGGGCCCCAAGAAAGCTTCTAGTGCCAACCCTGTGGTAAAAAGGGTGAGAATTAGTATGGAAATTAAGAAAGATTTTGAAGGGTTTGGGGCTAACCCTGAGAAGCCTATGCCAGTTGTGGAATCCATTGTGCCTACTTCAAAGATTAAGGAAATGTGTGCACAGTGGGTTGAACTGCAAACCTTTATAGATGAAAATCACCCTGACACAGCTGTTGCAAGCCGTGCTGGTGACTATTTCAATGACAATGTTGTGGCCCATTTTAGACAAATCGTAAAGGAACGGGAGGTACAGAGCTCTATGGACAGATTTGTTGTACGACAGAGGTCCAGTGACTCTCAAGCTGGTCCTAGTGGCATTAAAAGAAGAAGGGAAGTAACCCCGGAAAAGGACTTGCTACCTCAAGTCGTAATGGAAGGGGATTCCCCTTCTAAACAGTAAGAAGATAATGCTCTCCCCTCCTCCCATCCCATCAATCATCACCAGATCTTCAATAAAAGTAAGTGTCATGTAATTGTGCATGCCTTTTTCAGTTTGTGTGTATTAAAATTAACATTTCATGTGGTAAAAAAAAATTTTTTTCATACTTTTGGGCGTCTTGCACGGATTAATTTTATTTCCATTATTTCTTATGGGGAAAATTCATTCGCATAACGATTATTTCGCATAACAATTATCCCTCTTGCACGGATTAAAATCGTTAACCGGGGGTCCACTGTATATATACTCATAAATTCTAGCGGCTTCAAATCAAGCAGGAGAAAGCTGGTAGGCCCACATGTGAGAGAATGGGTCTGTGTGGTCAGTGTGCACCATATAAAAAAAATCCTGGAGCACGCAGTGCATAATGAGAAAAAAAAAACTCCGACCGTTTTTTTTAATTAAAATGCCGACTTTGTGGTCTATTTTCGTATAGTATTTATGGTTGTATTCTCGTTTTCTTGGTCTCATTTGATAGAATGGAAAACATATTACAGAAATAGAGGTTTTTTTTGATTGATTTTACTATAAAAAGAACCTAGAAATGGAGCTCAAAGTAGGGGAAATGTTTGATTTTTACCAATGTTCAAAAGTAAACAAATGATGCCATTGTCCAATAAATGTCCAACTAGCCATTCTAATATGCAGTCATGAATGGGTTGATGTTATTTATACAGTTATTACAGCATTGCAGTAGTCTGCATAATAGTAAGTCTAATATTTTTTGTTTGAATAAAAATTCAAAATAGAAAGCAAGAGTAATATCAGAGGGGCCTGGAGACGTGACTGATGAACAAAGAAAACGTTATTTTAGAGCCAGGAATGTCTGCATTGTTCATTCTGGACCTTATTTTGAAATTGTCATATTTTTTAGTTTTCGTGAAATTGGCCAAATTGCAAATTTCTGACCACATTATTAGGTAGTTGAAATCAGTAAATGGGCAGTTTCTTGTACTCAATCGATAGAAAAAATGAAGTTCTAAAGAAATAGCTATGAGTTTGGGCGACTGGAACAATGAAATTACCCGAAAATAGGGCTCAAAGTGGGCGAAATCGCCGATTTGTAAACAGCGCCAAGGTCGCTAACTTCGCGAGAGCATAATTCCGTCAGTTTTCCATCAAATTTCGTTTTTTTGGTGTCATTACAATCGGGAAAAGATTCTCTATCATTTCATAAGAAAAAATAATTTTTTTTTTTTAAATTTTGCGACACCAGGAGACACCTCAGGATTGGGGGTTGCGACAGTCAAAGGGTTAATATAGGAAGAGAGGTGAGTAGTATTTGTAGGAAGTCAGTGTAGGTAGCTGGTAGGTGTAGCCCACCTGGGCTACACCTACCGGCTACCTACACTGTGGCCCAGAGCCATATTATTAACATCGACATACCTTGTTCACTGAATTTAATCATTTCCAACAACTACCTTTAGATGCCATCATAAACGAAGGGAGAAGTAATGAATAATTCTTGCCGAAAATTGTAAACAAAAGCAGAGCGGGGGAGTGGCTGGGCCAAATGCAGATTCATACACGTTTTCTCTGATGGCTGAGCAGAGAAAACGTAATGTTGTCCCTCCACCCAGCTACCACACAGGTCCACAAGTATTATTATCAGAGCACATAAAATATGCAATAAATGCCAGACAACAAGTTTACACTAACTTATATTAAGTTATCAATAGAAATAGGCATTAAAAACACAATAAAAGGTAAGATACACACAGAGTACACTTATTACTTGCTTTAAAATATTAATATTAATGCGTGAGAGGTGAGTGGCAGGGTGTTTATTGAATAAAATCAGAATGGCACACCATCATCCTCTAGCTTAGCACTTAAAGCAAGAGGCTTACGACTCCTCTTTTTATAACAGCTAACCTTAGACACCATCATCAATGAGAGCCAACTAGTTAACAAAAGAGTAAACGAGAGAGAGAATGAGATACAGAGTTGAGACAATGTATGAATACAAACTGAACAGGTAGTGGACGATCACTTGGTCAAGCGAAATAAATGCTATTAATATGTTCATTCACATATGTTTGTAAGAGCTTGTAAAACATTTACCTTGGTATTTTTTTATTATAATAATAATTACCTCACAATACAAATACTCTTACATTGTGTACAAGTTGTACAAGTTAGTTCAGAATAAACAAACAGCAACACACCATTTTTAGAGTGAATGAAGATATTATTATTATTATTATTATTATTATTATTATTATAAAAAGCACTAAACCCACAAGGGTCGTGAATTGCTATATATAGAGTGAAGGCATACGAAAAGAATATTTTTCTACAGTTATCCCCCAGTTTGACTAGAGAAAATGTAATTCTTCCGACACTACCTACACAGCTGCTTTGTAAACAAATCTCATATTTACGTCAATTTCTATTCTGTGAGTGTATGTATCATGTTTATATGCTATGTAAAGGGTTTCATATATAATTTTGAGGAAAATATCATAGATGGATTAATGAAAATGCCTATATTAATGTAAAACAAGACATTTAGTGTGCCCAAGAGTGATTATTATTACGTAGTATTGGCGTCATGAGTAGAGAGAGACTTAGTGATTTTAATGTGTACCTGCACACCAGCACAGTGTGTAAGTATATTTAGGTACTGGTACACATAAGTATAATTATCAGAGTACATATAAAATACAGTGTAACTTCAAAACACTTGAAATTTTGGAAAGTTTCCTGACAATAATAGATGTGGTCACGGAGAATGTAAACAAACCGGGTGGGGCGCGCCATATTTCAAAGACCACTTGCCGTATAGCAAATTTTGGTCATAATTTGACATCGCCATATTAGTGGAACGCCGTAAGGTGAAACGCCGTAAAGCGGGGCACTACTGTATTGCGATTGTGCGTTCTGTTGTAGCTATCAAAGAGAAGTTTAAGTGGAGGGTTTATAATAGAGTTTAATGTTCTGTATATGTAGTAGGTACAATAATATGAGTGTATGTCTCATATATTTAGTAAGTTCAGCCTTTGAAAAGTGGTGAGGTGTACTGTATAGCACAGGAGCTGGTAATCATCCGCACAGCAGCTTTTTGTTGGGTTATTAAATGTTTAAGGTGGTTGGCTGTACTTGATCCCCAGGCACAAATACCACAGATTAGGTAGGGATATATTAAAGAGTGGTATAGGGTAAGGAGTGTTGTTTGGGATACATAGTACTGTATCTTGAAAACGATGCCTACTGATTTGGAAATTTTCTTGTAAATATGCTGGATGTGGGAAGGACATTTTACAGTCAAGGGATTACAGTCAAGAAGACCTAGAAATTTACCTTCAGTGTGTCTTGTAATAGGGTGAGTGTTCCAGCAGAGGTTATTTAGGGTCACTGAAGTTTCAACTCCCCCTCACCTCTTCAAGAAACACAGTGAAATATAGGTACTCTATATTCTCAAGTACAGGCCAAAGGTCTTGGGACAATATTTTTTTTTTTTAAATGAACAAGTCAAGTGATTCACATGTCATATTGCTGAAGGGCTTATATGTATAAACTGTAATCCCTATGCTGAAGAACACAACAACAGAGTAGCATTGTAGTAGGTCTGCTTGCCAAGCAAGGAAGGTCCTGCTAACAATCACACATACTACTTGTCTGTAACTGCTGCCAATAATGCTTTAATTAACAGAAGAGTACCACGTAGGCTTACTGGCTCATGCTAGACAAATCCAATGCCCACCCAATCTTTCCCACCCCTGCATTTGTTCAAACTGTGCAGTTTGTTCCAGTCATCTACAATACTACTGCCAAACTAATACTTTCCTACATCTTTTTAAATCTGAAGTTATCCATTATGAATTCATTATTTAGAGTTCTAGTTTGGGTAGACAAGTTCAGCACCTCATTTGCAACCCCTTCATTCCTTATATTTGCTACGCATTAAAAACCTTGCACACCAGACATAAACACATGAAAATCTCTAATGAACATCAAAATGGTATACAATACCGACAGGTTGGTAGGTAAGACACATAGGCAACAGTTAGGCAACTTTATTCCGAAATGTTTCGCCTACACAGTAGGCTTCTTCAGTCGAATACAGAAAGTAGGCAGGAACAGTAGAGATGTGAAGACGATGTAATCAGTCCATCACCCTTGAAGTCGTAGAATTTGAGGTTGTCAGTCCCTCAGCCTGGAGAAGTTCAGTTCCATAGTCAGGAACTATCTGAGATAGTTCAGTTCCATAGTCAGGAACTATCTGAGATAGTTCCTGACTATGGAACTGAACTTCTCCAGGCTGAGGGACTGACAACCTCAAATTCTACGACTTCAAGGGTGATGGACTGATTACATCGTCTTCACATCTCTACTGTCCCTGCCTACTTTCTGAATTTGATTGAAGAAGCCTACTGTGTAGGCGAAACGTTTCGGAATAAAGTTGCCTAACTGTTGCCTATGTGTCTTACCTACCAAAATCTTTAATGGTGAGATAACTAGTTATTACAGTACTGCACATGTTGTCACAGTTTGAAGCACATATGATGGAAGATAGTCAGCTTCAGCTACTCCAGCCATTTGAAATTTAACTTGATGCTTCTACTACCACCACTACACAAAGAAATGTGAGCTCTCAATACATGCAAAAAATGAGTATACACACAGTAAGAATGCATTTGGTAAAAACTAACCATGAAGAAAAATAATTTTTATTATTCAATTATTGAAACTGGACTGATAGAAATGGAAAATAGGTAGTACCGTGCAGGTGGAAACACAGTAGGTGGAGCAAAATGTGGTCTGCTGTGCATAACTAAAAACTGACATAATTATATAATCACACAGAGGCACTCACTTGAGTGTTGCATGAGTATGGGTGTCATTTGGGTCACAAATACATACAAACACTGAGTGACCTCTCCCAAACAGCATCTTGTGAAGTATCTGCATCAGTGTTGAACGCCGGCTGTCATACAGCTCACTGAAAAAAAATAACTTTGAGCAATAAGATAAGTTTATTTTTCAAAAAGATACATTAGAGTTATAGTAGTAGGTTATTAGTGTATGAATATATCTTACAAAGAAATGCCTATAGTTAACCCTTCGACTGTCGAAAGGCCCAATCCTGAAGTGTCTCCTGGTGTTGCAAAATATTCGAAAAAAAAAAAATTATTTTTTCTTATGAAAATGTTAAGATTATTTTTCTGATTGTTTTAGTCCAAAAAAAAAATTTTCCCATCAGTACTTACCCAGATATAGAGGCATGAAGTTTGCAGAAAATGAGCCGTGTATGGCAACAGCGGCGACTGCCGCTAACCCGGTAAACTTTAGTTTACTTGTATTTGAAGGTTTGTTGTTTTTTCACTATTTTATTTTTTCACATAACTTATGTGGCCTGTGAGACCAAAGTAAGGTGCAATGTACATATATACACTCGTTGTATACAACACAATAAGCACACAAACATAATTATCAATATATTGTTTACAAAACTTGTTTACAAAAACAAACAATACAAAAAATTTTTTATTACTATTGTTCTATAATATATATACCAATATACAGTCACTGAACATATTCCTAGAAGTTCTGCAGCTTGTGGAACTCTGTGAAACATGGTGTCATACACAATGGTGTTTTACACTCTTACACATAAAACATGGTGTCATACACAGTGGTGTTTTACACTCTTACACATAAAACATGGTGTCATACACAGTGGTGTTTTACACTCCTCACACATAAAACATGGTGTCATACACAGTAGTGTTTTACACTCCTCACACATAAAACATGGTGTCATACACAGTGGTGTTTTACACTCCTCACACATAAAACATGGTGTCATACACAGTGGTGTTTTACACTCCTCACACATAAAATAAGTGTGTGCATTTTTGTGGAAGTTTTTTTTTATGTGCAAAGACAAAACACCTCGTCTGAGCAGTTTTTTTCAAAGTATTAGCAGGCAGTTGTGTTATGTAGTTATCCTAGGTAAATGGTCGTGTGTCATCATTCCTTCCTTCCTAATTTCCTTCATTCCTTTCCTACCTGGAGGTCATTCCACCTCTCTTCCTCCATTCCTTCATCTGTCCTTCCTTACTTTTTTCCTTCCTTTCATCTAGTCCTTCCTTCATTCCTGCCTTCCCTTCTTGCTTCTGGTTTCTATAATGTATATACATATATAGTCACTAGATACAGTGGACCCCCGCATAAAAGATGGCATTTCCCTAGCGATTATTTTCGCATACGTTATTTAATGCAAATTTTGCCTCGCATACCGTTAAAACCCGCTTTCCGATTTTGTCGAGCCCCTTTCCCAAAGTGCGCCCTCGAGCCACCTCACATGTTCCGCCGGGCATTGTTTACCAGCCACTCCGCTAACATCCAAAGATAACAAACGGAATATTTGTATTTTACAGTTTTTCGGGTAGTGTTTCTGGAAAATAAGTGACCATGGGCCCCAAGAAAGCTTCTAGTGCCAACCCTGTGGTAAAAAGGGTGAGAATTAGTATGGAAATTAAGAAAGATTTTGAAGGGTTTGGGGCTAACCCTGAGAAGCCTATGCCAGTTGTGGAATCCATTGTGCCTACTTCAAAAATTAAGGAAATGTGTGCACAGTGGGTTGAACTGCAAACCTTTATGGATGAAAATCACCCTGACACAGCTGTTGCAAGCCGTGCTGGTGACTATTTCAATACAATGTTGTGGCCCATTTTAGACAAATCGTAAAGGAACGGGAGGTACAGAGCTCTATGGACAGATTTGTTGTGCGACAGAGGTCCAGTGACTCTCAAGCTGGTCCTAGTGGCATTAAAAGAAGAAGGGAAGTAACCCCGGAAAAGGACTTGCTACCTCAAGTCCTAATGGAAGGGGATCCCCTTCTAACAGTAAGAAGATAATGCTCTCCCCTCCTCCCATCCCATCAATCATCACCAGATCTTCAATAAAAGTAAGTGTCATGTTAGTGTGCATGCCTTTTTCAGTTTGTGTGTATTAAAATTAACATTTCATGTGGTAAAAAATTTTTTTTTTCATACTTTTGGGTGTCTTGCACGGATTAATTTTATTTCCATTATTTCTTATGGGGAAAATTCATTCACATAACGATTATTTCGCATAACGATTACCCCTCTTGCACGGATTAAAATCGTTAACCGGGGGTCCACTGTACTTTCATAAAACTTCTATTATCACCATTCAGCAAGCTTGTCTTGGGTGTGAGTGTGTGGCTTATAATTGTTTTGAGTCAGGAGTCGGCAGCTGTCAAAATGACATATTGTCTCATTACTCACTCCCCCTACCGCCTGTCAAAACAATGGGGTCGGATGCTGCTTCCCCTCCAGTCTATCTAATTATCTTTCTCCCTCATTCTATCTCTTTCAATCTGTCTCTCTCTTTCTCTCTGTCTGTCTATCTCTGTCTCACAGGTATACATAAATACAAGTATACATAGTGTAAATTACCTAGGATACCTGGAGAGTTTACCTGGAGAGAGTTCCGGGGGTCAACGCCCCCGCGGCCCGGTCTGTGACCAGGCCTACTGGTGGATCAGAGCCTGATCAACCAGGCTGTTGCTGCTGGCTGCACGCAAACCAATGTACGAGCCACAGCCCGGCTGATCAGGAACTGACTTTAGGTGCTTGTCCAGTGCCAGCTTGAAGACTGCCAGGGGTCTGTTGGTAATCCCCCTTATGTGTGCTGGGAGGCAGTTGAACAGTCTCGGGCCCCTGACACTTACTGTATGGTCTCCCAAAAAATCCAGACAAAGTGCTATACTCTGCTTGAAGATGTGAATAAACGTGATGATGACACAGTCTTGTGGCTCTCTCTGAGACAGAGCTAGACGGATAGACAGGGAGCTTGGCAGACAGACAAATGTTTGTTCGTCGTCGTCTTCTCCTCCTCCTCCTCCTCCTCCTCCTCCTCCTCCTCCTTCTCCTCTTCCTCCTCCTTCTCCTTCTCCTCCCCCTTCTTCTCCTTCTCCTCCTCCTCCTCTTTCTTCTCCTTCTCCTCCTCCTTCTCCTCCTTCTCCTTCTCCCCTTCTCCTTCTCCTCCTCTTCTTCTTCTCCTTCTCCTTCTTCTCCTTCTCCTTCTCCTCCTTCCCTTCTCCTTCTCCTCCTTCTCCTCCTCCTCCTCCCACTTCTCCTTCTCTTCCTTCTTCTCCTTCTCCTCTTCCTTCTTCTCCTTCTCCTCCACCTTCTCCTTCTCCTCCTCCTTCTTCTCCTTCTCCTCCTCCTTCTCCTCCTCCTCCTTCTCCTTCTCCTCCTCCTTCTTGTCTTTCTCCTCCTCCTCCTTCTCCTCCTCCTCCTCCTGGCTCTTAGACAGATAGACAGCTGCCTCCCTCCCTCCACCCTCGTTTACGGTCATCAAAGGTCAGCTCTTATCAGATGTTATCTCCCCTTATCTTGTCACTGTCATGGGGTGAACTGTTTTCATGCCTCAAGGGAACATATTATTACATATTATTATTATTAGGTATTATTATTATTATTATTCTTCCTCTTCTTCCTATTCTTCCTCCTCCTCTTCTTCTTCTTCTTCCTCCTTCCTCCTCCTCCCTCTGTACTCCTTCTTCCTCCTCCTCCCTCCACCTCCCTCCTTCTCCCTCCCTCCTCCTCCTCCCTCCTTCCTCCTCCTCCCTCCTTCCACCTCCTCCCTCCTTCTTCCTCCTCCTTCCTCCTTCCTCCTTCCTTCCTCTTCCTCCTTCCTTACTCTTCCTCCTTCCTTCCTCCTCCTCTTCTTCCTCCTCCTCTTCTTCCTCCTCCTCCTCTTCTTCCTCCTCCTCTTCTTCCTCCTCCTCCTCCATTGCTTTTGGTCTCAAACTCCCCGAAATCATGAAATTGATCTTCAATGACACTTCCATCTATGTTAGAGCATCACTTGGGAAGAGAAGAGTCCCAGATTTGCTGGGGAGTCACATATTTCTTACCGCTAGACATGCTGAAAAAGGACGACTGAAATGGTATTCCCACAATGCACCAATGGCTCCCCAATTTTTTTTATATGGTGCACACTGACCATGGAGACCCATTCTCTCACATGTGGGCCTACCAGCTTTCTCCTGCTTGATTTGAAGCCGCTAGAATTTATGCGTATAGATACGTCAAACACGGTATCTCCTATGACGTATATATACGACTGAGACAGTCAAAGGGTTAAGCATAACATTTCTGGCAGTCTTCAGCTAGGCCTAATACTTATAGTATGAAACTAAATAAAACATTGTACAGTAGACCGTCGTTTAACAGGATTTTGTCTTGCACGTTTTTGTTATAGCATGATTGAATAATTGCAGCATAATTTTGTTTAACACTAAGTAAAATTAGTTTAACACGCTTGAGTGAGAGGAAAAACATTTTGAGCATGCGGTCGCCCGCCGGGCAGGATGGTCTGTGGGTTAGTGGGTTACACTACTGTGTCAACGGGGGAGACCTTACACCAGTTAGCAAGAGAAAAGTGCATCGGGCTTCAAGACAGCAAAGGATCGCTTCACCTTGCTTTTTTGCGGTAATGCGGCAGGTGATTTTAAGTGTAAGCGAGCATTTAGTTAGAAGGTTCAAGACAGCTATAGACATAATTAGGAAGAAAGGGGGGTGCCCTGTTATATGTGGCATTTTTCCAAGAAGGGGTGTTGGAAATGAATGGCTGTCCACAGAAATTAGTATTAATTGTTGGCTGGATAAACACTGTAAGGATAATGCAATACCATTCATTGACAACTGGGACAACTTCTATGGCCGAAATGACATGTATGCCAGGGATGGGGTTCACTTATCCAGGGCAGGTGTGGGTTTTCTTGCTAGCTCAGTTGAGGGGGTTGTTAGGGCTTTAAACTAGGATTAGTTAGAGGTATGGGTTTAGAAATGATAAATAATGAGTATGGATATACAGTGGACCCCCGGTTAACGATATTTTTTCACTCCAGAAGTATGTTCAGGTGCCAGTACCGACCGAATTTGTTCCCCTAAGAAATATTGT